TACATGAAAACTCATCGACTATTATTTTAATTTATGATATAAAAGTAAATTTTTAAAATTACAATACATTATTTTAAAACTTGAAAAATCAATCCCCCTTAACCAAAATTCTTGGCTCCGCCACTAACCCTAAAGACACCCTAAATTTTTTTTTTCTTTTAGAAAAAGGCTTTTTCATAATCAAATTTCTTTTATTCTTGACTAATCAATTTTGTTTTCTGTTTGTTTGCCAGTACTCAGTAAATTTGAAGTTGGAAAGCCTCACAATACAAAAATTCAATTGCTGCCCTGATAAAGTAGTTTAACCTATTAAAAATTTAAAATTTTTAAATTTAAACCACGAGTTAAGTGTGTGAAGAAATTTGAAAAAGGGATGAAAATTAAGACTTTCTCCTCTTATGTTGATTATTATTAAAGGTATTAACAAACCCAAAATTTTAGTTTCTTGGGATTTTCTTTTATTTTAGTTTTATAGTAAAAAATAATTATTTCACATATCATATCTCACTTTATTTATATATCATATAATTCAAACGTAATAAATTTTATTTTTAATAAAAAAAATTATTAAATTACCTATATCATCTTTTTAACATTAACTTATCGACCTATTGTCGATATAAGTACGGATGATACAGGTGTGAGAATCTTTACTTTGAGAAGCACGTGAAAGGTATAGTTACGGTCCAAAAGTACGGCTCGCACCACTCAACGTTCGCTCGTGGGCGTGTCGCACCGGTCAAATTCCGTAGTCAATACTTCCAGAGGCAGAACAAGTGTTTGGTGCGTAGGCAACGTTTTCCCGTCCCAAGTTTCTTCCGCAATCAAACAAATAAAATTGACACTCAGCCCGAGACACCACTGACCGACTGACTGTACTAACCACTGATGATGATGGCGTCGACCTTATCAGCAACATAAACATGTTTTGATTTGAAGTGAAAAATTGAGACTTCTGGTTTTACTGGAGTAATTTTTATTTGTTATTAAAAAAATTAATTATTATTCATATGTTATAAAGGTGAGGGTTATAGCAATTATTAATTTTATTAAGGTTGTTAAAATTATTAAAGTTTTATTT